CTCGCTAGCTTTGTAATAAAAACTGCCGGCGGCGCGGGAGTCGAAGGCTATATAGAGGAAGCGGGGGGTACGGGGAACAACACATCGCTGACCGGCGATGACAGCGTTATGCGATGTAAGACGTAGACGTGCAAAACATTATTTTAATTTATTTTGTCTCTCAGAGACTTATTACTTATAAAACTAATTATAATCACATGTTAACCACAGCTTTTATCCACCTACATACTTTAGCAATATTAATTTCACATGTCATGCGTACACACCATTTTTTTTATTACGTTTTTAAGTTATAATTAGTTATAATAATACACAAAAAAAGTTGCCAGTCACTAATTAGGTTTAATGTAACTTGGATAATGATTTAGAAGAAAAACTAATTAGGTAAAATAAATTAAAGTACCTAACACGGTAATTACCAATTTTCTTCTTATCAAACAAAATAATAGATATTAAAAAATCTGTACAAATTTGTTCACACTATAAATGTGCTTGTAGGTATAAAATTAAATCAAAGAATCGTCGAGCCTGTTCATTGTGAATAACAACAAACTCTTTGACCATTAACCTTCAAAGGCCGGGTTCTAGAGTTCTCTTCAACGATGCGAATTAGCTCATTTTCCTTCCATAATGTACGTGAATCAAACACTATTATCATATCAGCACAACGTGATAATAAATAAGCTACCGTAAAATGTGACTCAACGCGTTTACGCGTACAATAGTCTTATTTATTGCTAATTAGCAAATTTTCTTCAATTGTTATGCTATTGTACCTAGCCATTTGAGTAATTACATAATATTTTTTTAATAATCAATTCTTCAATAACTTTTTTAAAATACTATTTTTTATTAAGACAATAAGGCAGACTAATGCTTACTTATCCATATTCCATTCTAGTGATATTTTTTTCGCAAATTTCCTTTTTTCTTAAAAACAAGTTGTTTTCCATTATACAGATGTTAACCCTTATTGTGGTAAGATTTCTTTTTTGAAGAAAAGCAAAATCAAAGTTAAATAGAAAAAAACAAAGTTAAAAATTATTTTATAGTGATCGTATATTTTTATAAAATTTTACGTATTGTATACAAAATGAACATAAGGGTTAAATAAAAATAAAGATAGCTTTAACTTATCACGATGCAACGTATATCAAATGGTCACGAATCAATTTAATTAAGCTGGTAGTTTAATGCAAATTGTTTAATAATGTTCGCTCATCTAATGCTGGGTAGCTTCGTGATCTAAACAAACATAATAATCCATCCTGTATTCTAATAACCATTGCAATATGTAAAATAATAAGTTTTAACAGTGGAAGAGCTCGCTACAACATGTGTTGCACGAATGGACCAAGGGGACCAGTGTAAGCGAGACTATACAGGAGTCAGGCGTGAAGTGGAAGAAATTCCGCGTTTTATTCCTATAAGGAAAAGATAGGGGAAATATCCTTTTTCAGTGCAGCCCTTCCTCTGTAGAATAAAGGTAGGCAGACAACAAATATGGGCAGAAGTAAGTTATTTTATATTTTATACTTAAAGTTACGAGTAATGCAATTAATTTTTGTATTTTGTTTGTTAATTTCATAAAAAAATTACCTTTTAAACAATGGTGCTTTTATAAATTGTCTGTGATAGCCGTAATTTGCGAGGTAAGCGATACTTATGCTAACAACTTGAGACGTTTGCGACTTAAGCGTCTGTAAAACAAACTTTGTATGGCTAATGTTGGCGAGGTAATGACCTTACATGTCGTGTTTCATTCAATTAGCATGTATCTTGCTTTCTGAAGCTCAGAATACTTATAACCTATCTTCTACTTCCAGGATACAATTCTTGAATTCTACTTTGATATTTGAGAATTGCGAGACGATACTAATATATATTTTAAATTAAACATTATATGTATGCACTTGGCCAACGTGGTTAACTATGGCTTAATCATCCTTAACTTAGGGTAGGCTCCGAGCCCCTCGGTGGGGACGTTTAGTGAGCTGATGATGATGATGTATGTATAAACTGTATTTTAATGGCCTCAATGGAAAATGTCGTAACTTAAAAAAATGTAATTTTTAGAAGAACACTTTAGTGACAAAAACATGGAAGTTTTCTTATTTTTAAATACTTGTGGTCTTCAAATTTTGATGTTAGATATATAAATTTCTATTGAAGCAGCTTTGGCAGAGTTAAACAATTAACCATCTTTGCGTTTCAAAAATAACGTGAGTTCTATTGAATTTAAAACAGTAACAATACGTGCTGCAATGTTAAACTATAAGAAATGTAATTTAAACATATATCTTAAAGTTAAATTGATAAAGCATGTACTTATTGTAATATAACATTAATAAAGACAACTAAAAACATATTTTTCTCCTCCTAACATAATACTTTAAGTTCAGCTATAACATCAAAAACGGATTACGTAATTATCAGAATAGGTTTGTGTTTACTGAGACATAAATTAACGTATTATACTTGATTTGTTATCACACGTAATAAAAGCCACATCAAAATTGATTATAACCATTATAATGAATAGCATCCTGGCAACATTTCGGCACACCTCATGATCCCGAATGAACAGGAAAACAACAGTTTTGTAGAATGACTGATTATGCGCACATTGAAGCAATTGCATCAAAATATATCATTGCAACAAAAAGAATAATAGCAATATTCGTCTACTAGGTGTCGCTCGCGACTCCTTCCGCGCGGAAATGAATAAAACTTAATTATGTGTTCTTCCAGACTACATTCTACATCTACGCCAAATATCAGCGAGATCCATGCACTCATTCTGAAAATAGATTAAAACAAACATCCATCCATTCATCCAAACATTTGCAATTATAATAATAGTACGATTTGTTCTTAACACTTGATACTAATTGATACTAACAATATCATGTCTAATGTTATTTACTTTATAATTACGAAATAAATATTCGATGTAAACACGTATGAAACGTGAAGTAAAGTGTAATCAATAAATTATAACCTACAAATTTAGATAAAGTTGACAATTTCGTGTATATATTTTTATAGAACTCGTTCATTTTGTCTACATTAGCGAGCGAGATGTAATGACGTTTATGTACATTCATCGTTTTTGTGCCGTGTCATCAGCACGTATAAACAAGATGGGTTTCTCCGGAATCCGTTTGAGGCACGTTCCAATAAAATCACTTAGCGTCACACAGTTTTCTCCGACCTTATTGTGAGCGGCTGCGTAAGGCGATTAAGTCCTCTTAAACGACAAATCCTTAACAATATTAAGGCCTAATCTGGGTCAGGAAACAGATTACCAAAAATCATACTAATTCAGTGTATGATTTCATTAAATATTCTATACTATTGTCATAGTTCTTGAATCAAGACATACAAAGATATTAAACGGAAATTGCATCACAAAATGTTTAAAATGTAAGTAATCTACAATTAAGGTGTAGGTATTTAGTACACAAACGGCTCACGACTAAGATGCAATTATGTAGGAAGATCGTGACAGACAATCTATTGCTCAATCAACTGGTAAAGAACTGCGCTCTGCTAATTATTTTATCCCATCAAATTGACGGATGAGATCAGAGCAAAATTGTATTTTCTGCTGTCGCACGCGACTTCGTCCGCGCGGAATTTGAAAAACTTAATCAGTAGCCTATTGCCTATGTGTTCTTACTGACTATGTTCTACATCTACGCCAAGATCCATAGAACAGTTCCGGAGAGATCTTGAAACAAACATGCATCCATCCAAACATTCGCATTTATAACATTAGTAAGATAACTACAATGCAGTATGTAATGCTGTTCTTCTCAAATTTCAAATTCAATGTTCTACAAATTCTTGGTCCCTCCATTAATGGAAACGAAAAAATTATCGTTTTAAAAATGTTAAAGAAGTGGTTTTCGAAATTTGTGTAGCGCTCTGAATCATTTCTTTTAAAAGAAATTATTTAAACAATCCGACAAATTTTATTTAACAATGTGAATAGGATAAAATCGTCAAAAAGAACAGTGATTTTATTCATAATTTTTTATCTTTCTTCCCGTCCTTTCTGTGAAATTGTTGACCTCACCTCGTTTACTTTCATTGATGAAAGTATTTAAATTGCTTCGTAAGTTCATATAAATAATTTACTGCAAAAAGCCGTCTCTTTAAATTGAACCAATTAACGCAAACTTCGTTCTTACGGTGAAGAAAACATCGTGATGCAACCTGTACATATCTAAGAAGAAATTCAAAGATATGTGTGAAGTCAACCCGCAATTGGCCAGCGTGGTTGACTATGGCCTAATCACTCTTTACTTAGGGTAGGCTCCGAGCCCCTCGGTGGTGACGTATGTATAGCGAGCTGATGATGATGATGAACGTAAACTTACATTATTACTTTGTTTAATTTCCAAAAGTATTATAGTTACGGTCTTACTTTGTTGTCCAACAAATATTGTGAGCGCCTGTTAGTTATAAACAACTATTTATGCAAACGTCTATTTAACCTTAAGCGAGGAACAGTCAAGCAACATAGAATTTGTGTGAAATTATATTTTGCATTTGGTCTATAAAATAAATTAATTGTACGTTCATAAATTATATTAACATATTATTTTTGGTTTAAACCATTAAAATACGATGACCAAATAGCAACATGCAGAATATTCATCAAATAAATACAATTTTGTGCAGTAAGCCTTCTTAGAGGTATAAAGTTGGTACTGAACGTAGCTCAGGATAAGCTTCTTAGACGATATCGGGCGGACCGAGCAAATTTAAGTTCATTGTAAATACACGTTGCAATGCTAAAAGATGTTTAAAGCCACCGTAGGGGACTGAGATTTAATACGATTGCGAATATATTAGAAAAGGTTTCCAGATATTTCAATGTACTGTATCGTTCTGGTAGTTACTTCGTCAATCTATTTATTAACTAAACGTCCAAAAAGTTTGTTATTTACTTATTTTTTCATAGAGAGATCAATGAATGTAGGAATGTCACAATAAAGAAGAATAGCTTGTCAAATTAATTATAATATTGTTGTATAATATTTTTAGAAATGGACAGAGACGATAATGCAAATCTTGATGTAGAATATAACAGATATTTACAAATTTTACATCCTTACATTGAACAATTACTGGATCTAGAAGATATAGAATTATGTAACGCTTGGATCCGAAGACTATCAGACTATAAAGAAGATGAAAAAACTCTCCGTAACAAATACCTCTTTGCACTCTGCTGCCAATTGGCAAAAGGTATTCTTAAGCATCCATTCTGTAGTCTTCCTCCACCCAACGAACTACCTATGCTAGAAGAAGCTAGCGATGATTCTCTTTCAGAAGGAGGTAGTAACTTTACACTGGGCTTTCAAAATAGTAACGGAGAACTATTAATTGGTTCAACAACTTTATCAAAAACCATATTGCAACCAAAAGACAGCGATCTTACCGCAGGTTCGCATTCTATTCAAAAAAATGTAGATGATATTGATAAAGAAGAAGAAGATGAAATAAAACTCCTTACAGATACCTTAGTTGGTTCTTCCAACTCCACTGTTGCTAATGTATGCTATCCAGAAATATTAAAAGATCTGTCAAAATTCGTTAATTCTGAGGATAATGTGTATTTGAGAGTTAATAACCTTATTGACAAACTGAGGCAAATCAAGAAACAAAATACATTATTGCTTAAAGAATTGCAAGCATTAAAGGAAGAATCGATATCCAGACAAAATATTCTTCAAATCCACTGCGCCACTAATACTAGTATCAGTATTAAAGCCAACGATAGTACAGAAATTGATACAAATGGCAATTTGGGTACATACGACGTTGAGTGTCAAAATGACTTAGGCAAAATATGTCAACAGCAGTCATTGGAAATTGAAGAATTGAAAAAACGGCACGAAATAGAATTAAATAACATAAAAACTGCTGCACAGCGAGAGATACAAGATATTTATGAAAAAAATATACAAGCTATAAAGCAAGAATACGAAATAAAAATAAAAGAAATGAAAACAAAACATGACAATGAAATTAATAAATTGAGAGCTTCGCTAATAGATGTGAATTTTGAAAAAGAAAATATAATAGCTCTTAAAAATCATGAATTAATTAATTTACGCGCAGAACTGGAAGAAGCAAAAGCTAACAATTCAGTTTTGAGGAGCGGCTTTGTTAAGGCATGTAATGACTTTAATTCTGAAACAGTTAAGGAAAAAGCGTTAGAATTTGAGAAAAGATTATACAAAATAGAAAAATCAAAAAATAAACATGTTAAAGCGTATCAAATGCAACTGGCGAGTCTGCAACGTGACAAATGTTTACTCGATAGTTCGCTCCATCTTCAACTTCTCAAGCAACGCACTGAATTGCTAACAGAGTTTACAGAAGAAAATCAAAAAGAAATATTAACTACTGTGGAAAAATTGGAAGGAAAGTATAAGGAGATGGTAGCGAATGTCCAAGCATCTGCTATACAAAGAAGAATTCAGGATCAAATAGCTCTGGAAACAGTAGTACACGCAGTATATGGTGGTGGATTTAAGAGCGGCCATACGACATTCAAACCTACCCATAACAATGTTCTGAAATCTAAGTCACTGAGAAACCAACAAGATAACGGCGAGGATCTATTGGCATCACTTCAACTGAGTAGTGTCGGCAAGAACTCAAAAGATAAAGAGATTTCTAAACGCGAAGATGACTTGGTGGCAGGCTTTTGTTTGGATGAAGGGAAATTGGAAGAGTTATATGAAAGGGTTCATATTCCCCAACGGGATATTTGTAACAATTAATCTTTACCTAAACTAAAATATTTAGAATTTTTCAGCAAATACAAAAATGGAAAAAATCACAAAAAATGTTTCAATGTGTGATGTATCGCGTTATTCGGTTAAGGAATTCGGTCAGATTTCTCATCTAAATTTTAATTTTATATAAATGCAAAGTAAAATGATAAAATACGTGATAAACGACTTTAAATTTTTAGACAAACTTTAATCATCAAAATATAAAAGTGTAACATATTGTTTAATGTTAATTAAAATGCCAAATTGATTTTGTGACATCTTGGAATCACTGATCGAAAATTTAATTTCCACCTCCGCGGAAATTGTTAAAATTAATTTGTTAATACAAAGGTCGCTGCTCGTACAATTTGACGGCACTTGTTCTCTTCGACGCTCGGTTCGTCGTTGTCGCCGAATTTCACAATGTCAATTTGATCAAAGCCATTTATAGAAATTAAAAGGATTGTACAGACTGTTGAGGAAATATTTGTAATGAGAAAATGAATTACTATCTCTGATTTGATTTTTGTTGGATTTTAGGAATGTCATCGTAGAAAAAAATATTGGCCTTTAAATTAATGTTTTAATTTAGTTATCTATTAGAAAAAGAAGCCCTTAGAGCTTATTATGTAGGTTCTTAAATTTAATAAAAATATATTTATAGGCAATAGACTTTATATTCATTCATATTTAATTCTTGCAACTTAAAAGGCAATAAAATCAGATACAAAACTGAGGACAATCGACGGTCGTTTGAAAACTAATTGGAATGTAAATTGGTATATTAAAGGGGATTAGACAACGAGGGACAATCTAACAGATTGTTTCTGGGGCTGAATAAGGGCAATTAGTAATAAACAAATTTGTTCATTATGTAAATTACGAAATCGTTAAATGATATTATTATTTAAAATTCTATTTCGTTACCAGATTTTCGTCCTCCAGATTAATCTCTTACTTGACATTTCAGTCTTCTATACCTTCATAATCATGTCACATTACACCTCTCTAATGTATATTATATAGATACATTTCATATATAGAATTAATTCATTTTCTGCTGGATTAATAATATATCCGAACTGTTACTAAACTGAAAACATTTTCTGCATTACTTATTTTTAAATCTAACAAGGCCTTTGTGTAGAACAGACTATGCTTTTCATGTTACTGATGATTACCTTCAAATTCTACTGAAGCTGGTTATTTGTGCGTGAAAGGGAAAAAACATTTGTCCTTTTCAAAGACGCTACCTTACCTTTCAGTTCCATTCAAGTGTAATTTCACAGATAGGATTCTCCGTCATTCGATTGCTAAACTAATATAGTTAGTTTTGAAATAGTTTAATATATAATATTTTTGATTTTTAAACCGAATGTCCAATACCATTAAATGAATCAATAAATCCTTCAATTTGAGAAATGCACTACTCATCCGCTATTTATACAGACATCGAGTAACCCACAAACTTGCAAGAAAGTTCTGCTTAGCTTTACTAGACTACCTGTGGACGAACTAAAATACGGAGCGACGCGAGTTTGCACTATCTAAACTTTGAACTATCAACACGACCATAGTACACCACTAAATTAAATCTGTTTTATTGTAGTGTGGTTGTTAACAACCCTATTACACAAATTAATCCTTAAAATTCGTTTTCCAGACAAAGTAGTTGAACATCTTATCTCTAACAATGTTCTTAGTTCATGTAACGGAATATCTGCCCTTAAATTTGCAATTGCGCTACTTTAGGACATTAAATGTACACGTAAGATTTCGCGGATGTATCTCGTAAACAACGTCCTAAGTCCGCCAACGCATTAGTTCAGCGTGGATCTCATAATGAATTCACCTTCCTTATTGCATTAAGTATATTTCGAATACCATATGAGAATTTTCAAAGTTGTTAAAGCGATAAACGTTAACTTAATTATACTAACTTTAAACTTAAAATAAATTTTTACTTACCATGTGGTTTCCACATTAATATTTAATTTAATCGACCTAATTATTATGATGCCATTTAAACTCACTTTCCCATTATTTTTCAACTATAAAACTATATTAAACTTACAAATAGATATAGTTTTCATCAAAGAAAAACATGTAAGTTATGCTATGAAAACAAGGAAGAGAACTAATCCATAGAGATTGAGAGGTCTGTATTAATTACTCTTCCCTACCTATTAGTTACGCATGAGTGAATCCCTTAGGGTCTGTAGAGTAAAGGGCTTAGGGACATAGACCAACAGTATACATATGAACTATGAATCATTTACTTTCAATTAACTACGATGTTAACAAAGTTTATTAACCTTTCTATTACAACTGATTACCACAGTATACAAACTTTAATTTAAATATGTTAAATTTGTACCATTTAAAATATTATCGATTTATGATAATCAACAAACAAATATATTATAGGATAATTTTTTTTTCTGCATATAATTTTTATATGATTTAAAATATGTATAAACAGTAACATGACATCGACTTTACGTCCGTATTAACAGTCGACGTAACAAGACTGCCCCAGTTCCCAGTTCGTATAGAGTCGCCCCGGGCTGTGTAATGGGGCATGGAACATGTCTCAATTTGAAGCTTGCCACCGCACACATTTAAACATTGAGGACAAAAAGCTTGCTGTATTAAATACGAATTTACACTCACAAATAGTTGAATGATACTCAGAATTTACTTAATTGTGGATTTAATAAATAACAAATTATTGTTATATTACTTGAAGAAATTACTAAAATAAGTAATTATGCTGAAGTAATTCGTTTGAATTGTTTAATTTTTGTATCTAGTTTAAAGTAAAAACGCTTAGGCTACTAATTAAGTTTTTTTTTTTATAACGCGTACACGAAGTCGCGGACGACAGCTAGTTTAAGATAAATGGAAAAATGTCTTGTTAACGTGCTGAAAATATCACGTTCAAAGATCTTGCTGATTCGTGACAAGATTGAGTTTTATGAGCACATCGACATCACGTATTCAAGCAAATGTTACGTGAACTTGATATCGTTAGGAGAATCTCAACAGTTTATAGACACGGATATAAGTTTACTATCGTTTTTTCAATTAATAATGACTTTGGATTCTATGTCATATCACATAAATCTTTAACTATTCGCATAAATATTATTATGATCTAATTACAAAAAAAAAACTCTTTTAAAAAAAATCGTAATTTTTTCAAAAAATTTATGACATGAATTTTTTGAAAGTTTCGGAAACAACGAATTATCCCAATTGGGATAAAAACGCCCAATTGGTAAAAATGGAATGTTACATCACATATTTAAATCTGCGATCTTCAAATATGAAAAGTATGTAGAAATGATTGAATAAAACAAAACACAAAAACTGAATATAACCTTTTCAGAGAAAACTCAATTACGAGCAACACTTTTTATAAATTAATTTTTGTATCAGAAAAATATGAAAATAACTATAAATATTGACATAGTATTCCCTTCTAGTCATAATATGTTCAGACTAGTTAGGACTGCACTTCCTTATATATTATACTTTTAAATTAAGCTAGGTTTACCTAAGTAAGAAGCTCGGAGACTTAATAAAATTAAGTTTAGCAGAGACCGGGCGGCTATGGCCTGGCGGAGCTCCAAATTAACACTGTCTACATTCACCTGCACAATACCTTTGTACACGTTGACAGCTAATTAACCTAAATAAAGAAACATAAAACGACATTTCTATTACAAACTCTGGCAGATAAAGCGAGCACAACAATTACTGATACCTCAGTTATGTACTTTATGAAAAAAGTTTAATTTACAATAGTTTTAAATCTTATGGGATATCTAATGGGCCCTCGTAGAGTTTCAATGAAACCAAAAGAAAATAATTTGATGATGCTATAAATTTTCAAGCTGGAATTTTGGAAAATTTGGAAGCTGGAGCGTCGGTGGCTCGGTGGTCAAGCACTTGACTTGCAATCTGCAGGTCCTGGGTTCGAATCCCGCCATGTACCAATGTGTTTTTCGATTTTCGATTTACATATGTACATTTATCCGACGTTCTTAGGTGAAGGAAAACATCGTGATGCAACCTGCACATATCTGAGAAGAAATTCAAAGATATGTGTGAAGTCAACCAACCCGCACTTGGCCAGCGTGGTTGACTATGGCCTAATCACCCTTAACTTAGGGTAGGCTCCGAGCCCCTCGGTGGGGACGTATAGTGAGCTGATGATGATGATGATGATGATGATAAATTTTCAACGCCTGTTCATTTGTTTTCTGCAATGCAATCAAAACCTTTTTTTGCAGATAAAAAAATTCATCCTTAATTAATAAAGCTACTGGAGTATACTATCGGTTCTACAATTCATTTAATTAAAAATAATATAAGATTCTACTTCAAGCATGGATTTAACAGGAAAAAAGCAAGTAAGAGATGCGTAACGCCTGCTAGGAAAAATATAGCAATAAAAAGTAGTGTCGTTTCCATTTTATAATTACAGTTGTAAATATGATTTAACTGGTTTATTCCAATTCGTAAATAAATTATGTTTATGTATTTTTGCATTAGATCGATTTCAGTTTAATACATTGCTGATGTCGATGGGCGTCGTTAAACACCTCGGTGTTCCCGCTGCTCGTTTGCCCCCTTCTTTTGTAAAAAAACATTACGAATGAAATGTTTATTTCTTTTTTTAAAACTGCATTAAAATAACTTCATAAATTGATCTACGGATTACCGTAGTTTGCTCTTGGCAGTCTCTGTCTTATAATTATTCTGGAAGTTATCCAAAAATGTAATAAATATTTCATTTTAATTTTAGAATTTATTATCACAAATTTGCTTTTATAGAGACTTTCAGGGGGTTCGTGAAAGATGGTAAAACAGATTTTGCCTTTAAAAAAAACACATTTTATACTTCTACAAAACATCGCACGGCAAAGGTCATACACCCTCACAAACACAATATATTTGTAACTGACTGGGTGTTCTTTTCTCGGTAAGCGGTTTTCGTTGTACCGCGTACTTTCACATTATTGTTAAGCCAAGTAAAACTAGGTCCTAAAAACATAAGTGAAAGACATTGTAAATATAGCATCTCCCTTACAGTTTGAACATAAACTACCAAGAGAATCTATCATCCTCAACCACAATAGCCAATGTTTTGAAACTGCGTTCAAAGCATTTGAACAGATTTACCTTAACTTGGCGCGACTCCAAATTAGCGTGAAACCGGCGAGCGCCTGTGGTTTCGCGTCGGCAGCGCTTTTGGCTACTTTCTGCAAGCTCGTCACTTGTGAATAGACGATGCAGCGCTCGTGAGATATAGCAATAGTAGAGGATTTGAAGGAGAACTTTACTACACCACCAAATGAATGCAAATATAACTCTCAAGATCTTATATTTATTTCCTAATCTAATAACGTTTAAATGTATGTTTGTTCAAAGGCAGAAAATCATTATTTATCCGCGTCAAATCAAAGTTGTCGCTTTCTCCCGGAATTTAATTGGCGTAAAAACACAACAGGCATTTATGAAAAAACTCTCGAGCGTAGAAACGAAAAATTGCGAAATATTCACTTATTAAAAACTCTCGTATTGATCGTCTTGT